CTGGCTGACCGATAATGTTCGTGAGATGCTACTATTGATTTACTCTACCGTTACATGGGAAGCTAACAATCGAATCATGATCATAGGTCATCTCTTTCTGGGAGGAGTAAGTTACCTGCCTACCTGAAAAGTTCCCGTCCATGGGGCTCACTAGATCAACAATGGTAGATACCTTGAACACGAATTCCTCGTCCAATATAGGTCCTCCAACATCGTCCTCCTTCGACCGAGCATGTCATTCATGATCCTGCAAACGCCAAACCCACATTCTCTGCGTGAAGCGCTTCCCGATTTTTCTCGAACTACGCATGTCTTCCTCCCTATCAACGATTGTCGCAATGTCACGGAAGCAGAGGGAGGCACACACTGGTCATTATTATTGATTTCGATTGTGGACGGGATAGCGTTTCACTATGATTCGCTGCCACCGGGCAATTTCTGGGAAGCCCGGACGGTGACAATGAAATTCGCGGCATTACTTGGACGACCCATTAACTACGTTCATTTGGAGGATTCGCCAGTACAAGAGAATGGGAGCGACTGTGGCGTGTTCGTCTGTTTGAGCATGCGCCATTTGTTACTGAAGAGATTGCTCACTGCCAACGCCAATGAGAAGGTCAGCATGAGTCTTGGTGGGCGCAAGGTTGATGCTCGGTCGGGACGCAAGGAAATGGCCAAGATTATAGAAGGCTTCCGGAAGGAGGGCGAAAGACGAAGATCGTACGTGATTATTGCTAATATTGAAGACTCGCCTGATCTAGTACTGACAATTAAGTGCAGAGCGAGTCTAAGCCCCCTTGGCAAGAAGTCGACCAGTCCTCCACGGATCGAATGATATCACGATCAATTGGAACAAGTCAGGGTCGGCGTCGGAAAGGTTTGTACATTGGGAGTTGTTGATACCAGGTCTCGGATACTGCATACATAAGCCAGAGGGATTGATTTGGTTGTGCTGGGAACTCGGGCGTGATAGCGCCTTGGAAGCCCTTCTGGCTACGCATTCTTCTTGTATTGTCTCTGCTGTACTTGCGCTGTGTTTCTATTGTTCTTCTAGTTATTAGTTCGGGCAGCATTTCCTATTGATTGTTGCATTTTTATGTTATGATATGATATGGGGTAATGAGAGACGTGCATTCGACTATGATGGCTGCCTTTAGTTTGTTGCATTCTAGCTTAAGCACTGTTTCTGATCATTTCCGACTCGCGTGTTTGTGTTTGGATGGACTACTTACGTTACCTGCGCCATGGTTGAATTAATATGTCTATTGTGGTGGTTTGTTTAGTATGTCTTGAATACTATATATATTACTACCATGTTCTTCAGTTAATATCATACTATATCACTCTGACCAAAGAGACACGCATACGGATATATATACTGAGTAGAACTGTGAGCACATAACAATCTCTCACTCTGATTTCCAGAAATTGCCTTAGTCTACCGCAGCCAGTGCTTTAACGTATCATACTGCTTCACAGCAGACTCATACTTCCTCCCATTTACTATGATCCATCTAATATCAACAGTAGTTTTGACATTGTCACTCCATTTTTCATGTTGATCTACTACTATAAAAATAACTTGAGAATGAACGCGCAGCCAACGGCCCATGAAACCACACCACTACTGTCAACTACTACTACTATGCAATCTCCCAACCCTAGATACTCCACCCTATACTCACTACTACACCATGATACCATAAAAACTGCCCACCAAGACAGCCATACCCATCTCCTAAGGTAGCTTGTTTACCCTTCCCCCTCACATCCTCCTTCCTTCCTTCTCACTCACTACCTCCTCCCACCCCGTCTCCCAGGAAACACGTTCCTTCCTTACATCAGACTCATGAATCTGTTGTAGTGAACGAAGTGGGCTGTCTCCACTATAGGGCTGTCGATCTACACACGCGGGATCGACGCCAACTGCTTTGACATGAGCTTGGCTTGACTTGGCCTGATATGTTGCTGTGCGTGCCCTATGTAGGTATATCATGTAACCGGGAGGATGGTATAGTCGTCGTGCTGCTTCTGGCTCTACTCCGTGAGCTTCCAGAGTCTCTATACAGAGCACTCCCTACCTTCTCCTCGAGGAGGAGACCCGTTGCATGGTAACGGTCTGTTGTTCCCTCGTATGGTCCTTCCTATATCGTGGTCATTGTCGCCGTTCGCTGGCATTCTACCATGGCAACGAGCTGTTCCTACCTTCTCTGTATAGCGTTCCTTCTGCTTCCTGCTCATGAAGAGTAGTTGCCTCGACAGTAAATCCCCCCAGTACATAATGGCCCTCTTCCCCCCGGCCCTCTCTCTTCTCTTCTCTTCCCTCCTCACACCGTTTGGTCCCTTGATGCTAGTACTGTGATTTATCACTTTGCGTCCCCTCAAGCCCATTCGTGTTTAGCTCAGCTTTTATAGCTTCTGCTTCCGCTGCCTTGTACCTTTTTTTTCTTCCACCTCGCCTTCCCCTTACACTTCTTATTCGTTTTTTGACCAGGTATTTCAGATGACTCACCTCTGGATACCTGGGTTGCCCTACAAGAAGGCTCCCGTAGCCGACCGGTTCAAGTCGAGTGCGCCATTCCTTTCGTTTCCCACGGCACACACGGCGCGCTTCGTCTTTCGCCGGAACTACGAGATCACCTCTTCCCGCTCCTTCCAGACAGTTTCGCCCCCCCGAACTGTCGTCCGCTCTCTCCTGCCAGTCTCGACTGGTGTCCGTTCCCTCCCCCGCAAGTCAGCTTCGCCTGACGTCCGTTCTTTTGCCCAGTTGCGACAGGGCTCGCAACTGCCGGTCTCCGTGAGACCATCCACTCCTTCCCCTGCTTCCCCACCTGTCCCAGCTGCCACTGGGGCAGGGCGCTCGCTAACAGGCTCCGTCCTTTCCTCTCGCTTGGAGGAAAGGCGGGCTTCTCGACAGGCACGCTCTCGGCCTTGGGCTGCTACACCCAAGGTCGAGGGGCACAAGAAGTCCCCCGAGGGACACCGGTCGACAACCCGCCCTTCCCCCCGAGTCGAACGAGCCTCTGGTCCGTCCGACCGGGCTATTCGCAGCCCACATATGGCGGCTCGAACTCGAAGAGCGCTCAGGCGGATCGACGAGGTTCTTGCTAAGCCTGCTCTGGTCAAGGCTGGGGCAGGTGGACGTAAGGCCAAGTCCGTGAAGTCGGTTCGTTTCGGAGAGGACACCGTCATCCCTGTGTCCTGTTGGATAGTTCGGCGCGAGCATGTCTTTCCGGCTCCGCTGGCGGCCATGGGTCACCTTCAGGGTTGGAAAGTCACTCCTCGTGCGGAGCCAGACGAGGAGGGTGAGATGGAAAAGTACACCACATACTGGGGTTCAGACTCATATGTGATGCTTGACATCCACTCTGTCTCGGAGCCATGTGGACGTGACGGATGCCAGTACCAGCGCCTGGCCAGCATTGCTGCCAGGAGGCCAGGCTGGGGTCCGGCCACTGTCTTCTTGGCTTGGAACATGCTGAGAGAGAAGGTCCGGCAACGTGGTGGATTCCGGCTGTGAGTCGTTGTCCTCCCCGTTCCTGTCACTCATTTTACCCTTCTCTACCCACATTCGTTTGTCTCCTTGACTTTCTTCAGTCGTCCTTTCATTCTCGCTTTTCCTTTGTCAGCGTCTGTTCTGGACTGGCTCTGGTCTGTTTTGGGGGAAACAGACCATCCAGGTTATGCTGATCGGGTAGCAGATGCTGGCGTGTATCCTGCTGTGGTATTGGTGGCGCATTATGCACCGAAGAGAGGTATGTCTGTCACCAGTGAGTGTGGAGCGAATACTGACGATTGTATAGGATTCTGGAGCGAGGGTTCCCTAACCACGAGGGGTAATGACGCACACCTGTACGCAGGGTTTAAGTCGTAGTCCCTTACTCGGAGCGTCAGCAACCCGTTGTAGCTCCCGACGAACGAGACGAACGAGACGAGACGAAGCCGAACGACGACCGACCGACCAGCGACAGCGACATCGACAAGACAACGACACCGACAACGACAGCGACAGCGACAGCGACGACGACGACACCGATCCGCCGGAGGCCGATTGGGGGTAAGTAGCTTCCTATTGACATAGACTAGAGAAGAGAAGCTAAGAGCATGTAGATGGTGGTGGGCCATCGACAATACGACAATATCGACGCCTCCTTCGACCGACGACAACGACGACCGACGACGACGCGACGACAACCGATGGAGCTACACCGGGCGGCTAATTACGCTTCACCGGAAGCGGAATAAGGTATGTGTTACTTCCAGTATAGATTAGTATATGCTAACTGATAAAGTAGACGGAATATTCCCAATCATGCGGATGTACTGGGAGGGAATGTTTCGTCTTGGGTTGAGTTTGGTGGCTGGTGACGGAGAGGTTGGAGGTAAGCAGCTGCTTGGGATGATGAAGAGGAAAGAAGCTAATGAATTTAATAGATCAGGGAGATTGTTGATCAGGAGGATAGCTGGACTGAGCCCAAGGGGAGTGAAGTGGGGTGGTATTGTTAGTAGATAGTTCAAAGACCATGGCATCATGGCACATTTGCTTGGGTTTATGGCGTTGGGTCACGGTTCATTATTATCTTTCTTTTGTTCATTCATATGGCCCGGGCGTTTTGTGTTATTGGCTTTTGCTTTTTTGCTATTCATTTCTTTTGTTGTTGATGAGCAGGATTCCTGTCTCTAGTTGCGTCTTTTTTTCTGGAATGGATCGTCATTGCTGTTCCATCAGTGTTCGTTGAGTATGAGATTGTAGTTGTAGTTGGTGGAATGACTTCAGTGACTGAGTGGTGAGCAAATGTATTAAGAACTTAACCAAGTATGCAGCAACCCTAATGCAGACAATAAGATGCACCAACAAGAACAGAACAGGACATAATAGAAAATACCAACTCAACAAACAAGATCAATCAAACAATGCAATAAATCCAACACAAACAACAAACTCCACGCCTCATCAGCCCTCCTAGTAGACGGACAAACCAAAGAATGATATAGACAAACTAAGCCATCAACTCATTCCACAAATCCGCCGCATCCTCCCCAACAAGCCCACTACTATTCACCTCATCCTCGGCAGCATAGCACGCATCAATGGTCTCCTGCGGCGCATTACACGGGCTAATCAACCGATTACACACAAAGTTCATCAACGTATCGATGGTCGTGGAACTCCCGTGATCAAAGTCCACCTGATTGTTTGTGATGAAACTCCATTCTGTCCTCCCGTCCAGGCCGTATTGGTAGGAGATGCTCGGGTCGGAACATTGGCCGTAGTCATTACCACTGGAGGTGTTGTTGTTGTCATCGCCGTCGCCGTCGTCGCCGTCGTCGCCGCCGGGGGTATCGGTGGGGCAGGAGGTTGTGTCTGTCACTGTTGTTGTTGTTGCTGTGGCAGTCACTGTAGATGCAGGGAGAGTGATTGTAGATACAGAAACATCCGTCTCTGTCGCTGTCACCGTCGAAACAGATACATCCGTCTCTGTCGTCGTAACTGTAGATGCCGGGAGTGTCACAGTAGCAGTCAAAACATCCGTCTCGGTAATAGTCGGTCCGGGAAGAGTAATAGTATCTGTGTGTATGATTGTAAAGGAGACGGTGTCTGTCGTTGTTGATACTGCTGTGTGTGTCTGTGTTTCTGTAGTAGTCACTGGGGGTTGAGTGATAGTCGATGTATCGGTGATAGTGGCAGTGATGACATCTGATTCGGTTTCTGTCACTGTGGCTGTGGCTGTTGCTGTTGCTGTGGCTGTCGTGGTCTCGGTGATGGCTGGGCCGGGGATTGAGATTGTTGCTGTTTCTGTTGTTGTCGCTGTTTCTGTCGTTGTGGCTGGACAGTCGGTTGGGGGTGGGATCAGGCCGGCGGTGTTGGATTCGGTGGTTGTGGTGGTCACCGTGATTACTTGCGTTGGGCTGTGGTGTATTTGTTAGTCTTGTATAGATGAGAGAGGTGAATGGGGCAGGGGGAGGGAGTGTCTTACCCCGGCTCAATGGTCGTGATGGTGATGGTCTGCACGTCGTTATCGTTGTTGTTGTCGCAGCCGTTGCCGTGGTGGTGGTCATCTTCATCGTCATCATCATCAGAATCAGATTCAGAGTCGGAGTCGCTGTCGTCGTCCGAGTCGGAGTCACTATCGCTATCACTATCCCAGTCATCGTCGCCATCATCATCATTCTGGTCTTTATGATGATGTTTATGACGGACTTGGTCTGTGATATCGTTATTGTCATCGTCGTCATCATCGTCATCGTCATCCTTCCCGCCGTGGAGGTTCATAGTGCAGTCCTGACCATCGGCACAGGCGTCTGCATCGGGCACTTGCACGTCCACATTCACGGCTGTAGGACGCGTCACGGCGAAGGGGAGGGCCTGGAGGAGTAGGAGGGGGAGTAGCCAGGTTGTTTGGCGGACCATGGTGGTGGTTTAGTCTTGAGATGTTGTGTCTGTCTTGTATTGAAAGGAGTAGATGCTATGGGATGAATAGCTTCAATTGGATTGCAATTGCTTGATAGGGTACAGAATGATGGTGATATTGCATCCTCAAGACAAGGAAACCTTATACATCTTTATACTCATCCTCATCGCTACGGATATAATCTCCATAGGGAGGATATTACTATCTCGATGCAGAGTCAAACGATGAAAGCAGGCTTCCTCAGTAAGTATGTTCTCATGAGGACTGCACAAAATAGGCGATGAGAGTGAATTCGTCCATTCTCCAGACCATACAGCTGTATGATATAATGTCGATCGGGGGACATATTTCACTGGTGACACAAGACTTCCTAAGAATATCTGATAAGTTGACGACCCCGTCAAAATTGACACACCCCAGAACACTCAATAACAATCAACAATCCCCTTTGTGTCTCCCGCTTTCGCTGGTCCGGCCAGTTTCTTATTGTAGGGTCGGCCCGTTTCCGGTCCACTGCATTCCAGCCATGCTATTAGGCATGTCGGGCCAGTATCTATGCATTCCCTCCCGGAACCGACGGGTACTAGTTATAGAAGATGCAGATACGTACTAATTAATACTTGAATCATATAAGACCGCGGATGTCCTCTGGAAACGGTTCATTCTTCTCTGTTTGTATCAAAGGGGAGATGCGGATGTTGAATATTGCAATCACGCCTTGGCGGTTCCGGACGCGGATCATGATGTCTGCATCGCTAGTATGCTATGCATGCCGTTGACCCGCGGGGAATTAGCCCCCTTGGTTTTCTCCAGTTTGTCTGTCCTATCTGGAGTAGAATCTCTGAGTTTCGAGCCAAGTCTAGGGTAAACTGCTTCTGAATCATGGTGATGTCTTGATCAGCGCTGGTGATGTAATATCCACTTCCTGACAGGATTGCCGACAGGCACGACGCTCTACGTCTTAGCGCCGAGATTAACTTCCCATACCACTGGGTCGGTGGGTACACAGCACCTCAACTTCATCTTTGCCACTTCCAAGAACTCCCGCTATGTAGTATCAGGTTTGCAGTAACTACTCAATACTTCATTACTCGCTCTGCGCGCTGACAAGATCAAACTCGACCAATTGAATGAGGCCGAAGTAGACAAATAAAGCGTAGGTACAATGGACGAGAACTCCTGTAGAGGAATTTATAGTGAAATCCAGAAACCCGGAGCATCCCTCCGACAATAGTCAGTTAACAAACAGTATAACAGCGAACCCCGAAACGCCGGCCAATGTTGAGAAATAGACAAAATGCAAAGCGGAAATTGTGTACACAGAGGCAGACATGAAAGACAGGAAGAATAAGCACCAAGGTTATAGAACGTGGAATCATGAGCCAGAGTGCCGAGCGTATAATCTATAAGAAATATGGAAAGCCGAACCATGAGTGGAAAGGGCAGTGCTAACATATGTACCAAGACGACAGACAGGGTGCCAATGGAGGAGCTTGCAATGGGCCGCACGCCCAGACAATCCCATCACTTCTGATTGGGATATACCCAGAGTCTAAGGCGGAGTAGGCGTTTGGCGGACCTCTTGCTCGTCAGACCGCTGCTTCTCGCGCGTGCGCATATACATTCCCTCCGACGGAGTGTCCGGTGCTGCCGAAGGATTTATCGAGCGGGGAATCGCCTGGGATAGTTGCTGCTGTTGCTGTGCAACAATCTCTCTCGCATAGAACTCCACAAGCATCGTCCCGTAAGCTTCAAGCTCTTCAACAGGAATCGATAAGCGAAAGTCGTTCAACAGTAAGAATTGAAGTTCAAGGTGGTTGAGCTCAACCAGCGGCAGTCCGCCAACCTGTGAACGAGTTAGAGATCATCGTCTAACAATATGATATGAGGAGCCACCTTTGCATATCGAGAATTAGTGTAAAATACGTCCGAGAAGAATTTACTGGCACAAGTTACGCCTGCGATAACTAGCCGGTGAATGTTGAAACTATCAACAACGAAAAAGTGGGAGAACTGATCCTCATCCTCCTGTGGTTGGAGAGAGGGCGATATGGACGACGGACTGGACGGGTCTTGTGCTGCGATTCCCGACGAGGATGGCGGGGTTACCAACGGCGAGGGTTGTGTCGCATGTGTCGACGACCGCTCAGCCGACGATGGCCGTGAACTGTTGCCACTTGGCACGGTAGACGTGCCATCCCAGCGACGTCGTAACCGGTCGAGCTGGCCCTTATTGACCAGTTCCGTCATGCGATCGAAATATACCAGCAGACTGAGAAAGACCTCATACGTTGTAGGACAGTACTTGTGTATCCTTGTCAGATAGCTGAGAATACTGATGCTGGGCACATTTTTGCCGTGAAATGCAAGCACGCTCGTAGCCTGGGAGCTCAGAGTGGTGGTGCCATCCGGGGGCGGAATGTGTCGATGAACCGACTCGTGATGCAGGTCATTCGTCGTTGTGATTTTCATCAGCAGTCCAGCAACCATCTCGATTATGTCCGTGACCGGCATGGAACTAATCTCGTACTGGCGCTCTTGGGTCCACTGCCCAGGTGCCTGGTCCCTCTGCGCGAGGAACTCTTCACTGGCAAAGCTTTGAATGTGTGACAAATCACGGACTTTGATCCGACTCGGAGAGTTGGCCTCCGACCCCCCAAGGGAGCGGAGGGACTGGAAGGTCGGTTTTAGCTGAGGCGAAGCCGGAGAGGACTGACTCCCCATATGCGGTGCCGAGGTTGGTACCGCTGTTGTTGCATGGCTGCCACCAGTGTGATGAGAGGAAGAGTGTGCTGCAGGATGAGAAGCGGAGCCCGGGCGCGATGGATGATGGGAGGTGGTAGAGGTCATTGAGGCTGATGGAGGATGAGTGTAGACGGATCCCGGAGTGGCAGAGGACGCTCGCGTGGATGGTTGGGAACTGGGTTGAGAGGGCCGACTGATGTAGGCCGGTACATCATGGGTTGGGTGGGAGGGGAGGCGAGTAGAGCCGGCGGCGGAGGTTGACGGCGGGGCTGTGGATGAGGTGGGGGTGGTATTGGACGAGGCCGACCTAGAGCTCCCGGACTCCAGGTGTGACGAAGGATGGTGAGAGGGCTGCTGATGAGTCGAGGACCGATACACTGATTCTGAGGAAGTGATGGCGCCTCCCAACATGTTGTAGGAGGTATCCATATAATCCGATCGCGGATGGTTTACGACGACCGATCCCATATCAGAGCCGACGGGTTTAGAGGTCAGACGCGGGTGCTTCTACTCGGTACAGGGCCGGCGGCCGAAAGTCAGCGATTACTTTGAAGACCAGTGATGAGGGGTCATGTCATTGGGGGAAGGCCAAACAAGGAACAGATTCCTCCGTAAGGCATCGCAAGAGGGACAAAGCACCAGACGGCGAGAGGGGAATGGAGAGATACCGGCAGGATGATTAGGTTCAGTCAAAGATCCAAGAATGGATGACAGTCTGGATCTGGAAGATCGTGGCGTGGAGGGTCAGAGCACCTGGGGAGGGGAGGGTGTGTATGTAGTAGCTACAAGAGTGAGTAAGAGTAGTAGGAGCAAGCAGTTAAACGTGAACCCGACCCAAGCCTGAAGCGGGAAGGGAATCACAAGCGATAGACGGCAATGGGATGGTCCATTGCGATGAATCAGCGAGGGACAGGACAGGACAGGACAGAACAATCCGGGGCGAGATGGGGAGAATGAGGAGGAGGGATGAGCAGACAGGCACAGAGAGCACTATCAGGTTATAGAAACCGGACTGAGGGGAACGGAGGATAAGGGGAATGGGGATTAGGGTGGCGGAGAACGATGGGAAAGGTGGATTTGGGGTGAGTGAATGGATGGATGGATGGATGGATGGATGATGCAGGAAGGGAACAAGAGACTCTCGTCCCGGCAAGGTTGGGATCCACACCCGGCCATCGCCCAGTCAATCATCTCCCATCCACCTTTGCCCATGTTACCAACATCCACACCCTCTACATCCCCCCAAGTTGATTGATCGAATGGCAGGAGAAGCAAGACGAATAAAGATGAGCATTCATTGACACCTGGAAGGTTCTCCTGACAGGGGGAGACAGGCAAGAATGCGACCTGACGAAGATATGATACCATGAGATGATCCATCATCTTTGATTCACCTACATACTGGCTATCGACCTACCGGGTATCACTAACTGTTCGACTGGATCTACTCGGGTCCAGGCTACACCGGAGACATCCTTACTGATTGGTACAGCAGGGTCTCCCCATGAAGGTTCCTTGCAGCGATATTAAGCAAGTCACCTTACCGACCGCGCAGAATGAGGAAGCCCTGTCGTCATGAGATCGCATCAACAGCCACTCTTAATACCTGCTTATCTTCACCAACTACTTACTACTTACCTGATAACTAGGGAGTAATACTGTGACAGACTGATTATTATCTATCTATCATCCCAAGAAGAAGGATAAGGCGAGACTGCGACTAAAGAAAGAAGGAGACGCACACCCTCACTCACTGTTCAGGCCTAAACCAGATAGTCGCATTTAGGATCATCCTCTGCTTGGGGGAGCAATGGGCGAATGGCGGCTCCTCTGCCGTGCAGGTGTCCAGCAGCGCCGACTGATTGGTGGCGGCTCCAGACGCTCTGGAGGCAATGGCAGCCGTCATTGACCTACCATCTATCTTGGCCTGGCCCCCCTAATTCCAAGCTAGCAGTTCCTTAGACAGTAAGTATTACAGTAATTAGTTGATGGCTCTCAAGTTCACTCTGTGGGTAAGCAGCGGGGAAGCTATTAATCTAACCGTGCTCCGTAGTGGTATTTAGTCTAGATGATGTGATCGTGCCATACTCCGCGCGTGGGATCCATGGATGGTCAGGACTACTGTCCCGTAGTCTGGGATATCCGGAATTAGTTGACCCCGTCTAGTGACCCTGGCTCCCCTAGATAAGGGCGGATCCATTATTGGGAACAGTCTAACGGCCACTGGCATACTGGTCAAGTGATAGTGCCTCGAACAAGCAAACTATAAGATGACGGGAAGCGTCTCCTGAAGAGCGCTATCAACCCACGCTATCACATCCCCTCCCCTAATCTAATATCCCATTCGTTGAAGATACTCCCCATCTTGATTGTATCTAGCAGTCTCAGATCTGGAAATTTCCTCTCTTAATCTTGGGTTATAGCACTACTCTGTAGAACAAGGAATAGCTCGTTTAGCAGCTAACAACAATTAAATCATCGTCCCGTATAGATACATTCGTTAATTGGTAACGCCCGGTCCAGTGTAGCCCGTGTCCGGCAGGTAGAGGTGTCGCTGGGCGCCCCGAGACGTCAGCACCACCAGTCGGATGACACCACCCGAACTGCCATCCCACTTGATGGCTTCTTGCAGTGCTCCGCGGACGAAGTTGATGCCTTCCTCCTCTGTCATGTTCTCCCTCCAGTGAGTATCACAGTAACCATAGATATAGGTCGATCCGGATCCGCCAATGGAGTACGGTTGCTTGTGAAGAGATCCGCCCAAGGGTATCGAATACACCTGACCTCCGTGCTTCGGGTCGTATCCGGCGATGATGATACCGGCACTGTGATTGATTGGTCAACGAAGCTTGCTCTTCCAGGCTGACCCGGTGGTATGCCTACCTTAGCATGTCCTTGTTCTCGTAACATAGCTCTTGGAACAGCGATGCGGCGACCTGAGTACTCGGCGCCTCGTTGTTGGTGATTGCGTACATGTTGAGGTGGTAGGACACGATGTCTGCCACAGCCTGGGTGTCCGCGGCGGAACCTGATCGACAGCACCAGATTGTGTCATGGACCTGCGTCAACTTGTCGGTGACTCGGTTGGCGATGTAAGCTCCGGTTGTCGTCCGGCTGTCTGCACCCAATATAACACCATCCTTGAAGTTGATAGCCATGCTGTATTTCGTCAACATATCGGACATTGCCTCGGGGCTGACTGAAACTCACATCGATGTTCCTAGGCTGTACCGATAAGTTAGTGACCGTTCTCAAGTCTCATTGAGCAAATGGTTGGGGGACATACTTTACTTCTCCGCTCTTCAAGTGGTTCATATCAACATGGATGCCATCTGCAATAACTCATCAACTCCTGCTCGACACATTATCAATTCATAGCACGAGACCACTAACCCTCGCCGAGCATCCCCGTCATACCGTGACCGACCATGATGGCTGTTTGAAAATTGACAGAAAGGGGTGATTAATTCCTATCTATGAAAGTCTATCCCACCGAAAGCAACAGGGTGTGATGGTGATGAAGCGTGGATGGAAAGCAAACGTTAGTGCAGCGATGGTCAGAGGTGGTTATGAGCTCTGACGGAGCTCTCCAGGCAGGTGAACGCGTTACGTTGGCAGCTGGAGCTGATTCCGCCGGGCGGTGAGAGACAGCCACGTTCCTACTGGGTGGTTCCTCTTCCCCCGCAAGCCTCCTGAACGACTTCCCCCAGCCATAGAAAGCAGCCCCCGATGAAACAAACCGACGCATTATCTCCCGCTCCAGGCTGCAGGGTATCTCGCCGGATCGTGACCCTCACCACTTGAGTTTCCCCTTCCTGCATTCTCCAGCGCTCCGACCGTCAATTCAAGCATTTCCACCCTCTCCGTTCCAGCCGCACCGCCTTATCTCTCTGCGACACTGCCTGGTTAGCCAGTCTACTACCATGTCGGAGTCGCCGCCCCCACCGTCATGGAGTATCGCCGGTATGGCCAACAGTGCCGTACAATTCTTGCGATTGCCAGTTCTGGCGTCTTCCGGGTTGGCTGTGGTAGCCAGCGGTCTTTTGTACTTTAAGCAGAAGTTCGTACCCCGTCATCAGACGTCCATGGACAACATCTCAGTGGCGTGTTGTTAGACGCTGACCCCTTTTGCAGTGAGCTCATTTATCCTCGCAACGTGCCCGTGGATGCGCGGACAAACGTCCCCAAGCCCCAACAGTTTGGAATCACAGACTACGAAGATCTACAAATTCCGACCCCCGATGGAGAGTCGTTAAATGCCCTGTTCATCCGCCCTTCGCGCAAACGTATAGGCCCGAGTATCACCGTGTTGATGTTCCATGGAAATGCCGGAAACATCGGGCATCGCATCCCCATCGCAAAGGTTCTACAAGATGTCTTGGGTTGTAATGTCTTGATGGTGGAGTACCGTGGTTACGGTTTGTCGACAGGTACACCGGACGAGGCGGGCTTGAAAATCGATGCTCAGACGGGGCTAGAATATATCCAACAGCGACCGGAAACCCGAGACAGCAAGATTGTGGTATATGGACAGAGCTTGGGTGGAGCCGTGGCGATCAACTTGGTTGCCAACAATCAAGGCAATGGTGCGATCGCTGGACTGATCCTTGAAAACACATTCCTGAGTATTCGCAAATTGATTCCCACGTAAGTCCTGCTCTATGACTGGTTGACGACCCAGGCGCTGTTACCCACGTCCTAGGCCAGGCAATGCTGATTCCTCTTATAGGGTCTTCCCTCCTGCTCGTTACCTTGCCCGTTTCTGCCACCAGTACTGGACCAGCGAGGATATCCTACCTAAGATCACACAGGTCCCCGTTCTCTTCCTGAGTGGGCTGAAAGACGAGATTGTCCCGTGAGTGCCCTCAGGAATTGTTGTACAAGCTGAGTCCTAGCATGTCACTAACATGCAGCTTATGACCAGACCATCCAACATGACTCAGCTCTTCGCTATCTGCAAATCCGACCGCAAGGTTTGGCGTACACTTCCAAATGGAGGACACAATGACAGTGTTGCTGAGCCCGGCTACTTCGAGCATATTCTCTCTTTTGTGAGGGAGGAAGTCCTCGCGGACGGTCAATAAACCGGCCGTCCAGATGGCATTGGGGCAGCACCACGAACTTCGGCCATTGACGTGAATCGGTCACTTTTATATCTCGGATCGCTCTGATGACACTGATGCTTTCCTTGGTGCTGTTCCTTTACCAACTGCCAACGAACTCATGACCACTTTCGATCCTTTGCTCTCACAATATCCCTTTCTGCGAAGACAACTCGTCCGCAGTCATGTCTAGGGCAAGGTTCTTTTACAGTGCCCTTCACATGTGGCTGTCGTTACATGAAGAAGAACTGCTCCTTATACACCCAGTTTAATTTCCCTTACGACTTGTTCTAGAACAGTCTACCTGCTGCGGTTTCTAATTCACACCCCTTAATCCCCGCAGCATTGGTTCGAACACTGTACCCATATCAATTATGTTTCGACAGCACTTGCTCGCCTGTTCTTTGTCATTGCTCCCTGCGTGGAGTCTACCTTTTTGTCTCATGATATTTATGCTCATGGCGTTACTGACTCTGGCTATTTTCTCAATATTCCTGCACTGCCTCCAAACCCAGGCGGTGTTTGGCTTGTCTCATCTGGCTGCATTGGCTGAATGCACTCATGGATTTATGAGTTGTGATCTACGCGTTCGCACTAGAATTAGGAAAGACCTAGCAGCCAAGATCGTCTATCTAATGAAGATTCCATCTAGTCCAATGGACCAGTTGTGCTAAAACAAATATTCTGCGACTCCTAGGATCGATTGTACTGTGTACTAAGTTATAGCTTCGTAGCCGTAGGCATGCTATGCACTGCTCAAAAGCATAATGACTCAGCAACATAATGGTGCTGCACAAAGCACGGCCCCACGTGGATAATCGGCGAGCGGAAACGTCCAAGTCAAGCCATCAATTAATGGCTCATGCCATCATGCAAAGTTCAATAGTCATCCCACCCGTTCGTTGCTGGCAACCTCCAGCTCCCTAATTCCCTCATTCTACATACTGCCGCCATTGTTTCGCTGTATATTTCTTTTGTTCCACGTTCTTTCGCCTGTCGTTCCTTCTCTTATTAAACAGGACACGAGTCCTCTACCCCCGTACCAAGCATACCCTAGACGGGCCACTTGGCGATCTGGCCCGCCATTGACGGCATTGATTTGCGATATCCTTGAAACCCACCACTTTCGTACCCACCATGGCGAACCGTCAGATTACTCGACGCATTCTCATCAGTACCGCGATTGCCATCTTCCTGCTCTTTGTTTTCTTTATCCGACCTGAAGGACCGCCGAGTCCCGCGATCCGTGCCCCTGGTCACCTGGAGAAGTCTACGCAGGCCGTGGTCTCCAAAGATGACCTCACCAAGGGCGAGGTTGTGATGCCCCGGCTGGGGAATGCAACCGCGAAGTAGGCTAAAGCCAAATGCTATTTCGCATTCTTGACATTTACTGATTGTTCACCACCAATGGCAGAGCCGAATTGGGTCGTGCGACATGGAAGTACTTCCACACCATGCTAGCTCGATACCCCGAGGACCCGACGGAGGAGCAGCAGGAAACCCTTCGCTCCTTCATCTACCTTTTTGCGCGACTCTATCCATGGTACCTACCCACACTCCTTTCTCTCTGCGCTGATCGTGGCTGCTCACTATTTATCAGTGGGGAGTGCGCTTCTCACTTCCAGGGTCATCTGAAAAAGTACCCGCCGCAAGTTTCGTCGCGCAACGCGGCTGCAGGATGGGGTTGCTTTATCCACAACGAAGTGAACACCATGCTCGAAAAGCCGATCTTCGACTGCAATAATATTGGGGACTTTTACGACTGCGGCTGCGCCGAGGATGAGGAGGGCGAGGGTGGTGAAACTTTGAAGGATAAGAAGAGTCAGAGCGCTGCTCGAGACGAGGTTGATAGCGATGATGCCGTTTCGCCCGTTGAGATATCCAGGGAGCCGTTAGTTACGTCCTTTGATTACCACGGGAGCGAAGATACTGATCAGACGATCTAGGACTACGCGGGGTTGAACAGGACCGCAGAACTTTGGTATCTAATCCGTGCACCTGGTTGCGTTTATACCCAGTACTTGTTCTTGCATGCTCCACCAGCGCAGGATCGCTGGGTGCATGGGGCCAGGAGCAGTACATTAGCGTATGATTTCTACAGCCACACTCATTCAAAATCCGCATTATCGTCCAGACTTTGTACTTTGCATGTGAATTTCATCTGCCCTGTAAGCACCCGGACTTCCCGGAAAGGGCTTCGCTTCTCACACAGCAATTGTGGGAGGGTAACAGGAATTTTGCAGTCACATAGCTGTAAACGAAGCTTCTGGCAGGTTCTCAGCAGATGCGAGCAAGCGATGGCCGGGGCGGCTGGTAAGGTTGCGAAAGTATGCGGCATCGCGCGCATGACTGCAGAGATGCATCTGACTGGCGCGGCTGACCAAGACTAACGTAGCCTGCTGCTGAACACAACAAGGCACGGTATATTGCCTCGCTCCGCTACAGCACACCTCTATGGACAATTACCCAGTTTGCGATATAGTCAACTAGTCAACTAGTATTACCGACACCACGCTGGAAGTGTCAGCGACAAGGCTGAAACCTGACTTCAAATAGATGAAACACTCCGCCATGAGGATGCCCGATTCGCGCGCGGCCCGGGCCACAAAAATAGAAATAGATGTCGTTAAGCCAGCGCCAGCGGCATTGCTGAACCGAGCCTGGCTGTCAACCAGAGGGTGGCTCGCACCGAAAGTCTAATCAACTGTAGACTGACGATCTCACCCACCTCAAGCCTATGGAACAGGGAGGTATCACTATGCCTAGATAGCTGGCGACGGACTCGTATCGGAATTCTCCCGCATCATCTGTAGGATTGTCTTTCTTTCGCACCCAGTGCTATACTAATCGACCCGGTGAAGGCGGGTGAAGCTGGCTGGTGACTGGTTGATCCGCCCATCTTGCTGCTTGGCGTCAGGTCTCCTGATAAGTCCGTGCTGATGTCCGGATGTGCAAGCGCTACACCCGTGGTCTACTTGATCCACAGGTCATCATGTCGGCGTTTGCATGGGAATCCTGGGCCTCGTCGACCGAAGGGCGCGTTTCAGGTCTGGGAGCCCAGGTCAATCTGATCCCTGAAGGTCATGGTGGAAGTTGAGTATGAAGAGGAGATATGTTGCATTCGATATTTTCAGTGGAGCTGTTCTTTGAGCAGGTCGTATTCTCAGCGGTAAGAAGGAGGCGCATGAATTCTATCTAATTATCTTGTCTTTTCGGATTTGATTGCGGGGTTGAAGGGCCATGGCCTGATTCGTCAGGTACCAAATGCCTGGCACAAGGTTTGGAACAATCCCAAAGCAGATAAGCGCCACCCAGAGTTAATTCTGGACTTTTTACTTTTTGGCCCTTTTTTGCCCTTTTCTTTTTTTGGCGAGGGAACAAGAAGCAAAAGCACAGCAGTGAGACGCGGAGGCGAGAACAGGGAAGCTTTTTCTTGAAGGCGCCGAGTGCTTGGGATCCAGTCCGCATTTATTTATCTGACCTGCTTTGCTTATTCTGCTCGGCTTGTCCGACCATCCCTCGTATTTGTTTTGCGCCGTCAACAACAATAACAATCACCACCACTACCACGACTACCACCATCACCCGTTTGTTTAAGTTCGATTGAATTGGATTGGACCTCGTCGTCGCGCAGGGATCCATTCGTCCCGGAAAAGACTCCATCGCTTGGTCGGCTTATTCCCCGACAGGTTCAGTGCGGGTCCCGACAAACTAGCGCCCTTCTCAATCGCCGTCTTTTCTTCTTTTTCTTGCCTTGCGACTTTGAGTTCTCAATATATCACTGGGAAAGTCCCGACTCGTGCAGACACTTGAAATAGTACGCGCACCACATCGCCGGGTCATTCAATATGGTTTCCTTCTCCTGCGAGGTGAGTTGTCCTTGTCTCTCGTTTGTCACGAGCAGCGTCCTGCGCGGAACTCTGCTGGAAATCGTGCTAACTGGCTGCCTTCTTGATCTCTAGGCTTGCGGTGATATCCTCACCAAGAAGAAGCTTGATCCCCATCGCAACCAATGTCGCGGCGCCACCTTCACCTGCATCGACTGCATGGTGCACTTTTACGGAACTGACTATCGGTCGCATACTGTATGGCTCTCTACCCCTCCGCTCGTGCTTTGCCGCGAACTATATCCTTTGCGCTTCGTCCAACGGGTCGGAACTCTCTGCGCTATATCTGCTTGTCTGATTGGTGGATATAAGGACTCGGACTCTTGTTGGAAGAGTGCAGGCGCACTTTGTGAACAGAATGGGTGGCTGACTTGACTTCTTAGTCGTGTATGACCGAGGCGCAAAAGTACCAGGGCGCGCTCTACCGGGAGAAGCCTACGAAGAACCAACGCAAGGCGCAACAGAACAATGGCAAGCAGAATCAGAAGCAAAACAACGCTCATGGTCACCGCGCCCCGTATGTCGAAGATGCGAACGACACCGATAACCCGCCCGCGGCGCCTACTTCCCCGGTGACTGGAAACGACAAGCCCCAGGAGGCTTCTACGAACGGAGACAAGCAAGTTAATGTCTTTGACTACTTGGTGGCTGAAAAGAACCCCAACGCGTCCAAGGTCTCTCTGGGCGGATCCAAAGAGCAGATGAAGATGGTCGCCAATGCTCCCTCCGTCTTTGAGCCTAGCAAATCTCTGACCCGCGCCGACACCGATGCGGAGGAAGACAACAAGAACTACGACGTCGCATACGAGGAGAATGGTTACTCCTACGGAGCTGGACCCATCAACCAGTCGGTGTATGATGGTAAAGCCCCGAACGCTTCCATGGAGTTCATGACTCCGGCACCGAAGAAGAAGAAGGATCGTCTGCGCGGCGAGGACAAGGTCGGCGGCACGACCAGTGAGAAGAAGCGCAAGCGCCGCACCGACGATCACGATATGGAAGAAGCCGACACCCCCATGATGGATGCGCCATCCAGCGTTCTAAACAACCCGGGCACACCCATGCTGAAGCACTCTGGTCTGACTGGTGGTCTGG